TTTTTTTTTTTTTTTTTTTTTGCTTTTTATTTGTATAAATGAAACGAAAAAAAAAAGGAACTAAAAATGATTGAAAAGAAAATAACAGTAGCATTCAATAATGAGATACAGATGAAAACGACAACCACAGTTGGTGATGATGACAACGATGTCGATTCTGTCTTAAATGTTTATAAGTGTCTTCTTTAGTACACAACTGTTTTTGAAGATATCAACTATGTAGTTTTTTTTGTAGTCGATCTCAAATTGACCGCATAAGCGGGCAACCAACTAAGTAACCAAATAGTGAAGCCATCATTATCTTGTCAGCAAAATTCTTTGACAGCACCAATGTCGATATATGTCATCTGCTGTAAGAGGGAAAGAAGATAACTGTAAAAGAAAAAAAAAACGGGGAAAAGAATAAAACAAAACCAAATAGCAAGAAATGAAAATGAGGAATAAATTTTACAATCATAAATACAATACAATTAATAGTACTATTGTGGTGCTTAATTTGTTGCTTTTAAAGGTTGCTGAACGTATCGACGATATACGACGACTGAGTGCGTCAAGGCGTGATGCACTACAGAAGATGGCTTCTAAGGAGTCACGGAAGCCGCCAGTTCAAGTAGTTAGTCCAGAAAAATTGCAACGTAACGTTTCGACAATATCCGTCACTTCGGTAGCCAAACTGTCGCCAACAAAGGTTTGTCAAAAAATAGCACACTGTGTTCATTTCAGCATTTCCACTTTTTTTTTCTTTCAGATACCTTATATATCTTATATATCTATATATCTTTCAGATATTTAGCATGATAAATGCTTAACATAAGCGTTTTACAGCTTAAAAAAATCTGAAAAACTGCTTCTCAGTTAACCTTCTTTTGTTGTTCCTATTATTTAGAGTTGTTGTCATTCCTCGTCTATTTGTGGTTTCATTATTTTATCAGCATATATGATTTGGAAAAAAAAAAAAAAAAAAGAAAAAGAGAGTCTTATTTTTTTTCACTTAACTATTGTCTTTAACTGCTAAACAATATATGAATAAAAAAATAAGCAGAAAAAAAAAGCTTAGTTTTTATTCAAACTAAATAACGTTTAGCAAAAAAACAATAGTCTAATACAATTGGCTCTAAATTCTAGCTGATAAATGCTCAAATTTTTCCAGCCTCTGTCCATTTTCAATTCTCCACTATATCTGTTGTCACGTTTGTCAACATTAGTTTAGACTACATTTCAGATTGTGAAGTACGGAGGCATCACTTTTAACCGCTGTTCATTTCTTTTTTATTTATTTATTTTTACGATCGGTTTTTTTTTTCCTCCTGGGACTTTAAAGATATATCTGTTCATTAATTTTCACTGTTTTTTCTTTAATTTTTTTTTTCTTTTTGCTAGGTGTCTTTGAAAGCTAACTATTTAATATTCCATTTTATAATCTTACTTTAGTAACGAAACACATTGAAGAACATTAAACAGGACAGCAGTAGCAGTAGTAGCGAAAAAAAAAAAAAAAAAGTAAGATAAACGGATTATCTGCTGTCATTGAAAATTCAATTCTGTTAAACTTTG